TACGAGCTATTCCAATGCATTTTGCAGGGTAAAATTGAAGGAAAAAGAGCCCCAGGACGAAGAAGAATATCCTGGCTTGTTAACCTGAGAGCATGGTATAGAAAGACCTTAACACAGCTATTTCGTATAGCAACCAACAAAAGCATCATAGCCAGAATGATCGCCAACGTTCGGAACGGACAGGCACCCTAAGAAGAAGAAGATAGATAACTATTAAATTGGAAAATAAATATTTGCTTATAGCATATATAACTGCGTATAGCTAATAGTAAGGAGAAAAAGATAAGACGTCTTTGGGCTCGCAGGTGGCTCTTACGAAGAAATAGTGGGCCAAGCATATCAAATTTAGTGTTTATATTATACCAGATAAACTAAACTCATATTATGAATAAGAAGACTATAAAACACTAAACTAAGAATAAAATAAACTAAATAAATAATAAAAGAAAAATACGACACAATAGCACAGATTAGACAATAGGCTCAATATCAATGCAACAAACAAAAAAAAGTAAATAAATAAAGGATGTTGTCTCTCGGTAAGGAAATGTCTCTGAATTGACAAGAATAAGGCGCGATATTTAAATATGTTGGTCTTACCGGTATTATTACCGAAAACCATATGATTTTATATGCAGAATAGGTATTTACATGCGGAATAGGTACCGTCCTATTCTCCTGTGACAAGTTATGACGAGCCGCATGACAGTGCTTATGACAAATCACACAGTGTAAACATGTAAATTTCACTCGATATGACCAATTATTTATCTATGTATATGACCAAATCATATGACAAATCACATGATCAATCATGCAGTGTACTGGCTCGTCGTTTTCGCTACTATTGTTTTTAACAAGTTTAAGTTCGTAACAGTTTTTTTAATTCTTTTTTATTTTGATGGGGTTTTCAAGCCGCTAATTTTGTTCCAGTTTAGTTTAGCAACAGCGTCTTATGAAGTGATGACTTCCGCACCAGCGCATATCTTTTTCTTTCGGTGGTAGTTTTTGTTATTTTTTAATTAAGACTATATGAGGAGCTTGCGTTCAAAAGGGACTATATCCATTTGGAAAAAATGTCCAGGAAACGAAAAAAACTTCTTATCGGTGGGGCCTTAGTACTTGGGGATAACAAGGTAGGGTTTATTTGTAGTGTTTTAAGAAAGTAGTTTGATGCAATTTGATTTGTATTTTTTGATTTAAAGTTTTATGAAAAAAAATGATTAATAATCTAGATATGGATAGTTTTGATTGCAAAATTTTAAAAATTCTCAAAAAGAACTAATTAAAACGCCAGAAAACACATTTTTATTATAAAATTGGAACACAAAAGTCAAAAGGAACCAAGAGAAACAAAAAATATTTATATGTGAAGAGCAGGTTCTTCATCCAAACAGTCAGATTCCTCGCTCTCATCTACTTCTTTGTTAGTAGATTCCGTGTCTGCTTTGGCAGAAACAAGTAAATACTTATACCATTTTAGATCTGCTCGCAACATCCAATTTTTACCAAACAGCTCTTTCAGAAGCTTTGTAAGAGTTTCTGGGCTCTATAATGTTTAGAACCAGGTCCCCATCGTCTTTTCCTTTTTTTAGCATGATCTGACGCGATTTATTTCCAGATTCAAACCAATAATATAGGTACGTATTTACTTCAATATTTTTTGGTTTTGAATGTCTTTTGTGATAAAAATTCTTTTTGTTTCAGCAATGCCCTTTACCTTATTGTACACTTTATCTAGTTCCTTTATATTAAAAAGTTTCCAGTCGTTTCCTAAGAGTTTTACTTGACCATATTATGAATATATCATCGGCAGCGGACGATTAAAACCCAATGTTAAAATCGTGTATAAAAACTTTTCGGAACATAAAAAATGACACCCGATTTTGTGGGTATTCCTTATTAAACATTCTCCATAACTTGGCAACTGACAGACTTGCAGATAAATATATTCTCTTTGACTTTTTCTTATTATAATGACTTGCGCGCTTTTAGTCTCTTGAGAAAATGTCGAACGCATTCTTTTTATCTTCACTTTTTTTACATTTATCATCATTGCCGCTATTTTCTTCCCAAACGGTATTAACTCTTTTTGTTTTGGAGATACTCAGTGCAGCAAGAAAAAACTTTTGACACACCCGCGTTGCTTTGTTGCCGCGCTTAATAAAATACGAGACACTAAGATTTTTCAAGGGGAAAATATTAACGTCAGCCGATCTATGACGAGCAATAGGAGCGACGGATAACATATGGCACAGTCTAACGTCTTGGTTAGTTTTGATGGAATCTGCATAAAATTTCTGCCTTAGGGTTTGTATTTATTTTATTTTTATTTAGCGTATGGCTACATCACAGGTTCATATATATATATATATATATATATATATATATATATATATATATATATATATATATATATATATATATATATATAAATTATATAAATTACAAACAACAGTAAATACAAAAATATTATTCTACAAACAAACATCTAAATTATAAATATATTCGATTGACTCTTTTGTAGCAGCCAGGAAATCTGAAGGGTTGCCGTTATAGGATCTAATCGGGCATTCCTCTACCATGTGTTTTACTGTTTTCCTTTCGGCGCCGCAGTCGCAATTTGGAGATTGTATTTTTCCCCATCTAAAAAGTGAGTCGGAACATCTGCCACAGTTCGTCCTTATTCTATTGAGTGTGGTCCAAATTCGTCTCGGTTGGTTGAAGCCCTCAGGTTTGCTTGTAATACATGGCATGTTCCAATTAGCTGGTGCAGCGTTATTGCAATCTTCATTTGCGAAAATAATTCCCTAGGGCATTTAAATCGTTTGTTAGAATGCGTTCAGTGACCTCGAATTCTTTATGACTTGCGGCAAGCGTCCAGTCGTCTGCGTATCCAAACTTTTTTGATGTGGTTTCTGGCATGTCTGCTATGTAGAGGCTGAAAAGCATGGGAGCCAGCACGGATCCTTGTGGAAGTCCATTATTCAGTTTTCTTTGGGTACTAGTCTTGTCTCCCAATATAACTTCAAAGCATCTGTTGGATAGCATGGCGTTAATAACCTCAGTGGTCTTTCTGCATGGGATTATTCGCATTAATTTATATATTGCCCCTTGTCGCCACACAGTGTCATAAGCAGCAGATAGATCGATGAAGACAGCGGTTGTTTTTGATTGCTTTTGAAAGTTTGATTCCACATAATTGGTCAGGGCGAGTACCTGGTCTGTGCAGCTGCGGTTTGGCCGAAATCCTGCCTGTTCCACTGGTAAGTGTTGGAATATGGTTTTGCTGATTCTATTATACAACAGTCTTTCGAACAATTTGTACACCATACTTAAGAGTGCGATGGGGCGGTAGTTTTTCGGTGAATTATTACTTTTCCCTGGTTTTAAAATGGCGACGATTTTTGCATTTTTGAGTTGGTGGGGGACGTTTCCAGTTTGAAAGATGTCAGAAAAGAATTCTGCGAGCCACTGTCTAGTGAATCTGCTGCTATGTTTGAGGAACTCAGCGTGAATGGCGTCGAAACCCGGCGCTTTTCCTGTTTTCATTTCATTTAGGGCTTGCGATATTTCTTCATGCGTAAATGGGTTGGAATATTCTGTTGACTGTGCAAGACTAGATTTTATAGTTTTGAGGTCTTTTTTAACTTTAATTGTATGTAAACGATTTTGAGGTGCCCTAGAGGTTGACACTATGTGCGTAGCTATTTGGTCTGGAGTTACTAGGTTGGTTTGGCGAACGTAGTGCTTTCTTGAAGTTCCATCTGGGACGTGGGAACGATCTTATAATCGGAATGCTGATACCGATCTTGATTAGGACGGCGCGATGTTGACTATGTGGAAAGTCAGGCATAACACTTCGTGATGCTGCTAGCGGTTGGCCTTTGTTGTCAATGGTAACAAAACAGAGGTCAGGGTTATATTCTCTCCTCCAGGCCGCAGATCTGAAAGTGCCTCTATCTTTGGCGTCGAATAGAAGGTGGGCACCATGTTCCTCTGCCCATTCCACAAGGGATGTGCCATTTCTGTCAGTGTCTGAGTATTTCCACATCTCATGGTGGCTGTTGAAATCCCCTACGTATATGGCTGGATGTTCATAGGAATTAAGAACTTGGACAGGCCAGGTAATAGCAGGAGGTTTGTTTATGTTAGCTATTATGACATTGCCTATTTTCACAGTTACCTCGTGGATGTTGTTCTCGGTAGAAGTGGCGATTAATGCTGCATTTTCTATGTTTGAACGGACATATGTTGCCACTCCGTAAGCTCTATCGTAGGTAGCGCCCAAAAGATCATAGCCGGGGATTTTTCCTCTTGAGCTTAGTTGACCTTCGTTTTCTGTGTACGTTTCCTGAAGTGCTACTAGGTCAACTTCGTTGTCTTTTAAAAGTCTGTGCAGCATTTGACATGTTGCCCTGCTTATGCCCTCTATGTTAAAATGGCAAACTCGTATGCTTGGTCCGAGTTCTTTGGTCAAATGGTCCTGATAAGGTCCGTTTACAAGTGTCATTTCTGGAAAGATTTTCTGTGATATTTGAATTGCCAGGAGATTCAAGATTGTCTGGCGCCTTTTGTGCTAGTTCATTTAGCGTTACCCAGGGTGCACGTGTAGTGTTATACTACGGACTCGAACTAGCTTTACACCCCTAGGGTTTGTAAATATTGTTTTTTGTAAAATATAAGGGAAAAAACTTTAGGCTTACAAAAAATCAAATTGTGACCAAAATTATTGTTTAAAAAAGACGCAAGGTAAAAATAGGAGTATCTTTTCATCTATTCGTGATCTAATAACCACCACCTATATCTTAAAAGCTTCAGATATCTGCGAAAAACTTTGCCGTGAAATCGATGATTTTTGCATAACCAGACTGGACTACATTCATAATACATTATTGGAGAATATCTGTTTACAGAGCTTATTGCATGCTAATTTAGGTACCTTCTCCATACGTTCAGAAATATTGCTGCCATGTCACAACTATTGCAACTGTTACAACATGCTAGCGACTACAACTATTTTTTTTATAGGTAATTTCCATAGCCCAGAGTATGACATCGTTTTGAGCTTTGCTTAAGGATTATCAATATACACTAATCTATATCACCTCGTAGTAGTAATATCACCTCGTCTATAACAGAGGTGTTATTACCTTTCCGTGTAGTTAGCATGGATTAAATCCATTCGATGATATGGTTGTACACCTTTTACTGCTTCGGCAGCGTTAATAGAATAAAAGAAATTCTTTATATACTTATATGATATTTCTTAACTCATCATAAAATCATACAATAACTGTACTATAACTTTTGGACAAATTTTAAACATTTATCTATTTAAATCCACTTTTTGTTCTAGTTTTTGTAGACTTTTTAATCAGAGTAATGGCAGCAAATCTAGAAAACAGTAACAAGTCAGTAGTACGGGTTCCTGATGTAGGAAGACAAGAATATTTTATACCAAAGAGTACGTCATGGCCCCAATTAAAATGGAAAAATATCGGGAAGAAAGTGAGTACCTAGCTACTAAATGTTTTCCGATATCTTTTCAATATATAAATAAGCAGTATCATATCTTAATAACATCGCTCGAAAACTAGTTTTATTATCTGTGAAAGTATTTGGTGTTTTCTGGAAACTTACAATCTTAGTCATAAATGTAACAAAAGTCAAAAATGATCATTATATCAACATAGCGATATAATGCGATTTTAATTTCGTTAGAACTGCTGCTAGAAATGATTGTGTACTGGTTAGGAAGAATGGTTTTAGTGTATTTTGCAGTAAGATATGATTCTTAAGGCTTTTATCGTATATTATTGAGTGCAAGATGAATTACAGCAAACCGCAGTATATGAGTAGTACGTATTATATATTATATACTATCCAAATATATAGGTTTTGTTATGTCTAGATGATATTATTATTTTCTTCATTATTTAAAATTTATTTTAGTTATATTTTTTATACTCCACTGATTAATTCTTTTCTTGTAATATCGATATCAATTTCCATTTCATTTGATTTCATTTGGTGTTGATAATACTAATATAAATATATTGGTAGGGTAATTACTATTTAAATGGGAATAAGCCACAATTAAAGGTTAAAGTAATTTTATTAACGTTTCAATTTCCACTTTTGGAAATCGTTCTCAAAATACAAACATAGTAAATTAAACAAATTTTGTTTGTTTGTTATTTGGTGAAAAATTCTTCTAATAATTTAATTTTATCTGACTCATTCATATTGACAATTCAGACATACATTATACATTTTAAAGTAGACGACGTTAAATAATATTGCCAATATTGTTGAGTTGCGTTCCTGGGACGACTTTACTTGTAAGATAGTTCATTCGATTACATGAAATCAACTTTAACTTAAGAATATCCGTCAGAAAAAAAATCGTAGCATGTAATTCGTCTTTAAACAGACAAACACATGCCATGATGACAGTAAAATTCTCGTGTTAGTGATTCCATAGTAAATTATGGGGGAAAGTAAAAAAAAACCTCATAATACTATCCCGACATGGTAAGTATTTGGTCGTGCATTTAGTTTCCTTTCAATAAACACCAAATTCTGAGTATATATGTTTGTTATTTAAAAAAAAAACATAAATAATGTATCATCTATATGTTACTGACTTACAATACTGATATTAAGTTATTAATAACTTTATATATATATATATATATATATATATATATATATATATATATAGAATTATATAAAATTAATAACTTTATAACCTTTAATAACTTTTAACTTTCTTTTAATATGGATTAGAGCCGCTTCTTTGATTTTTCTCTTTTTACCACCCGTTTCTTTTAGGCTTATATTTGAATCATTATAAATATATTGGTATGGTATAATGAACCCTATGTTCATTATCCCATGCATGTTTACATATTTGAGATCTACAAGATTGATGTTCACTTATTCTAACATTGAATGGCCTTGATGTTTCACCTAAATAAAACTGATGGCATTCACAAGGTATTTTATAAATACAATTCTTTGTCCTTTCTTGTTCATTGTTAGGTTTGGTTTTAGATAAAATAGATATCAATGTGTTTGTTGTTTTGAATGTTATTGAAATTTCTGATAATCCTTTTATGTATGATATTGTTATTTTCCTCGTATTATTTCTTGTGTATGCTGTAGTATCTCGTTTTCAGTTCTGTTCTATTCGGTCGATTGTTGAAAAAAGAAAAATCAAAGAAGCGTCTCGAATTATGCTAAATGAGACCAATTGGGTCGTAAATTCCTCGGCCGAATTAAATAAGATCTGGTTATCCATATTAAAAGAGGAAGTTATTAAAAGGAAAATACCAGTGTTAGTAAGTCAGTAACATAAAGAGGATACATCATTTATATTTTTTATATAACAAACATATAAAATCGTAATTTGATGTTTATTGAAAGTAAACTAAATGTTCGACCAAATACTTAACATGTCGGGATAGTATTATGAGGTCTTTTTCTGATTTTCCCTCATAATTTACTATGGAATCACTAACACAAGAATTTTACTGTCATCATGGCATGCGTTTGTCTTTTTAAAGACGAATTACATGCTATGATTTTTTTCTGACGGATATTCTTAAGTTAAAGTTGATTTCATACAGTCGAATGAATTATCTTTGGCATTCACCCTCTTTGCCAAAGAAGGTGAATGCCAAAGAGTGTAGTGACTATCGAACCATAAGCTTAATGTCACATACCTTGAAAATTCTCTTGAAAATTATCCACGCCAGAATACACTCTAAACTGGAGCTGGATATTAGTGACACTCAATATGGGTTCCGCAATGGTATGGGTACCAGAGAGGCATTATTCTCCTTCAATGTGCTGACACAGAGATGTTTGGATGTTAACCGTCCTCTTTACGTCTGTTTTATAGACTACAATAAAGCGTTTGATAAAGTAAAACATGATCGACTCCTGGAAATTCTAAAAAACAAAAACCTAGATGAAAGAGATTTAAGGCTAATAACACACCTCTATTACAATCAGCGAGCAATAGTAAGAATCGAAAAAGAAACATCTGAAGAAATGGAAATAAAGAGAGGAGTCAGGCAAGGCTGCATTCTATCACCTCTATTATTTAACGCCTATTCGGAAGAGGTAATTCGAGAAACTCTGGAAGATGAAACAGTCGGCATAAGAGTAAATGGAGTCTTAATTAACAACATCAGATATGCAGATGATACAGTAATAATAGCCGATAGTTTACAAGACCTGGAAAGACTCATGAACAAAATAGTCATGTGTAGTAGGGAGTACGGACTCTCTCTTAATGTCAAAAAGACGAAGTTTATGAAAATTTGTAAAAACAACTATAATACTAACGAAATCTTGATAGTAGAGGGCCAGCAGATCGAAAGAGTAAAAAAGTACACTTACCTAGGAACACTTATAATAGAAAATAATGACTACACGGCAGAAATCAAAGTCAGAATCGAAAAAGCACGTTCTAATTTTATAAAAATGAAAAAGGTCCTGTGTGGCAAAGATCTAACATTAGCTCTTAAAGTACGCCTAACAAAATGTTACGTATACAGTGTACTATATTATGGAGTGGAATCATGGACGTTAAATCTAGATACCATGAGACGACTTAACGCCTTTGAAATGTGGACCTATAGAAGAATTATGAGGGTTTCCTGGGTAGATAGAGTTACAAACAATGAAATACTGAGAAGAATAGGCAAAGAGAAGGAAATTGAACTTACAATTAAAGAAAGAAAGCTACAGTATCTCGGACATGTGATGCGGGGCGATAAGTATAGCATCCTGCGACTCATAATGCAAGGAAAAATAGATGGTAGAAGAAGCATCGGAAGAAGACGAATTTCATGGCTGAAGAACCTGAGAGAATGGTTTGGATGCAGCTCAAAACAACTATTTAGAGCTACTGCCTCAAAAATTAAGATAGCTATGATGATTGCCAACCTCCGTAGGGGAGATGGCACCTGAAGAAGAAGAAGAAGAATGAATTATCTTACAAGTAAAGTCGTCCCAGGAACGCAACTCAACAATATTGGCAATATCATTTTAACGTCGTTTACTTTAAAATATATAATGTATGTCTCAATTGTCAATATGAATGAGTCACATAAAATTAAATTATTAGAAGAATTTTTCACCAAGTAACAAAAAATCAAAATTTGTTTAATTTACTATGTTTGTATTTTGAGAACGATTTCCGAAGTGGAAATTGAAACGTCAATAAAATTACTTTAACCTTTACTTGTGGCTTATTCTTATTTAAATAGTAACTACTTTAAAATGCCACAAGAAAATAGCTTCAGAACAATATATTGGTAGGGTGTTTTATTAATATGTGTAAATATTTTACCGCACAATTTTGATATCACACTATAACGATTTATGATTTCCACAAACTTGCCTGCCTACTTTAACCCACTTTTCTTCGCCCTATACTCCTAGTTCTTCTACAATATTTTCGATTCTTATTTTATCTATAAACTATTCCATGTATCTTCTTAGTCAGGTACTGTTTCGTTTAAAGGGGTTGGTTATCATCATTTCTCTTTCATTTTTGACACTGCAACTCTGAATACTTTACAGAACTGCATTTATACGGCTTTCTTAGATTATTTAACCAGTAATTGCGTTTTCTTCCAGTAATAGTGTCAAAGATAACAGTCAAAGATACTTGTGATCACAGCTACTAAATAAAAACTCGTATTGAAAAGGCCAGAAGCTCTTTCAACAGTCTTAGGAATATTATCTGCAACTTACCTTTAAGTATCAATATATGCATAAGAATGCTTAGATGTTACAACTTTAGTGTCCTCTATGGAGTAGAAATCTGGAGCCTTACAGAAGATGCCATAAAACGATTGAAGGCATTTGAAATGTAGTGCTACCGACGTATGTTGAGGGTCTCACATATACATCATACAAGTAACATAACTATTCTCCAGAGGCTAAGAAAAGACAAAGAAATTATTAACACCATAAAAAAACAGAAAATTGGGTTACTTAGGCCACATTATGCGTAATAATAAATACCCACTTCTTTAGTTGGTTCTACAGGGCAAGAGAGGCCTTAGACGTATATGTATATCCTGGCTGGCCAATCTTAGGAAATGGATTGGTCTAACGTCAACAGCTGCTGTGAATAGAATAAGATGGTTGCCAACATCTCTAGAAGATAGGCACATTTAGAAGAAGATCACAGATAAAGTAAAGTAGAGTTGATTTTGTTTTTTTATTTTATGTTTTTTTCCAGCTATTGTTTTTTTCATTTTTTTTTTGATAGTCCAGACTGCTATTCAGGATCTGATTCAGTACTGAAGGTGAATGTTTGCGGGACAGTATTTTTGGTCACTGTGTTGGCAAATCGTTTGTCTCTCATGCTTTTAGAGATTCATCTTTATTTCAATCATATTCTTCTTCTTCAGGTGCCATCTCCCCTACGGAGGTTGGCAATCATTATAGCTATTTTAATTTTTGAAGCAGTAGCTCTAAATGCTTGTTTTGAGCTGCATCCAAACCATTCTCTCAGATTCTTAAGCCATGAAATTCGTCTTCTTCCGATGCTTCTTCTGCCATCTATCTTTCCTTGCTTTATGAGTCGCAGGCTGCCATACTTCCCGCTCTGATTTCTTTAATTGTAAGTTCAACTTCCTTCTCTTTACCTATTCTTCTCAGTATTTCATTGTTCGTAACTCTATCTACCCAGGAAACCCTCATAATTCTTCTATAGGTCTACATTTTAAAGGCGTTAAGTCGTCTCATTGTGTCTAGATTTAACGTCCATGATTCCACTCCATAGTATAGTATACTGTATACGTAACATTTTGTTAGGCGTCCTTTAAGAGCTAATGTTAAATCTTTGCCACATAGGATCTTGTTCATTGTCATAAAATTATTAACGTGCTTTTGCGATTCTGACGTTGATTTCTGCAGTGCACATTATTTTTTGTTATAAGTGTTGCTAGGTAACTGTACTTTTTTACTCTTTCGATCTGCTGGCCCTCTACTATCAAGATTTCGTTAGTAATATAGTTATTTTTACAAATTTTCATAAATTTCGTCTTTTTGATATTGAGTGAGAGTTCGTACTCCCTACTACGCAGTACTATGAGTTTTTCCAGGTCTTTTAAAATATCGGCTATTATTACTATTATACTATTATAATTCTTTCGGATATAGGAATGAAGCCAGTTACTGATCTCGTTACTTTTTCACTGAGGATCATAGCTTCATATTTGTGCTGAGTGTCGCTGCTTCCAGAGTAATAAATTCGTCGATTGTCTGTATTGAGTTCGCCAGAGCCGACCCATCTTGTATCGCTTATTCCTAATATATCAATTTCCACTCGCATCATCATCATCATCATTTTGGCTTTACAACCCTGTGTGGGTCCTAGCCTCCCAAGAATTTTTTTTTGCAGTCGTCCCTATCCATCGCTTTCCTCCGCCAAGCACCATATTTCTCATATCTTGATCCCAGTCGCATCATCTCTCGTAAATAGACATTGGTGATTTTAAACTATAAAGCAAACCTGCATTTACTGAATTTAACTTATATTAAAAGAATTGATTTTATCTATTTCATATATCATCTAAAAAATGACATTATACTACCAACGTAACATGCAACTGGTTCGTATTTTATTAAAAAATTGTTTAATACATTCGTTTGCTATACTTGCACTTTTGTATCTTTGTCCTAACAAACAACTACTAAAAACCAATAAAACTAATCTTATCGACTTTTCATTCATGTTTTGTTTATGATTTCTTTTTAGAACGATATAAACCAGCTTTGATAGATCCAATGACGTACTCGATATTAGCAGACCATGTGCTTCACCTTATGCCTCATCAAAGAACCGTTCTACTAATAATGAATATATATCAGATGAAAACAATTAATCCAGCACATCCATCGAACGATCCTGATGCTCCGTCAGATGTTATTATCGTAGCAATAAGGTAACACTAATTTTGAATACATGTCATCAAGCCAACTTTTCTGTTCTAAAATATAACAGGGATATAAGATAGGTAATATCCACATTTTCATTATTAAATAACTGTTTGACTGTTTGAGTAAGTGTATATTTCACTTTGCTGACTCCATATTCAAATGAAGATTAGAGATATTTGGTATTTGGTGTATTAGGTTTTAACAGTTCCCTTTAAGTGCCCGTCAGCATCTAAACCAACTTCTTTCTAGTTCCTTTTTAGTATTGTCGATGTTCTTATTCGTCTTTGTACTTGCCCGTACCACTGCAGAGACCTTTTTTCCAACTTTTTCGTGATTAAACAATCTATTCATATTCTTTCTTTCATTCTTCATTCTTTCATTCGTTCCATATTTCCTCTATTCTTATTCTATCCTGTCTGTTGTTAAAATTGTTCTTATTTTATTTCGTATTGTTGTTGTCGTTGGCCATACTTCCGCTCCACATAGGGAAATATTCAGCAGTATGCTCTGAAAGATCCTTTTTTTTTTCTTTGGTTAAGGTGTTGTTCCATATCACTTCATGGAGTGTTTTCGTGGCTTCTTTTACCGTGCTATTTTCATTTCTATATCTTTCATACAAATACCATCTCGGCTTATCATTGACCCTAAATACTTAAAAGTCTTACAACTCTTAATAGTCTCTTATAAACAGTTCAAATCTGCAACCTAGCATCCAATACATAATTATTCGATCTTATACATATATATCTTGAGTCGCCATAGCTCATTGAATGTAATCTATTCTCTTATACTGGTATGCCCATTGTGCCGCCTTTTCTGTACCATTTTTTCAAAGCTTGATTTATATATATTTTTTAAGCCATTTTCTCTATTCGGATTGCCGAATATAGGCCTCTCCTAATTCTCGCCATTCGTCTCCGTTGTTTGTAAGACGTTTCCACATTGGCCCTGCAGTTCTTTTATTATCATCGCTCCATCGCATTTGCAGTCTTCCTCGTGGTCTTTTGGCTTGATATGGCCGCCAATTCCCGATTTCTTTAATACATCGGCCATCCGTAAGACGTTCGATATGTCCAGCCCATTTCCATTTCAGTTTAGCTGACTGTTCGACAGCACTTTTACTTTTGTTCTATTACCAATGTCTTCATTGGTTTTATTGTCTTTGAGTGAGATACCCAGCATCTGTTGTTCCATAGCTCTCTGAGTTTTTCTGATCTTCTTTATGTTTATTTTAGTGAATGTCCAGGTTTAAATCCATATGTAAGTACAGGTAGGATACATTAATTAAACACTTTGATTCGCAGTCTTTGAGGTATATTTTTATTTTTAAGTACGTATAAGAGTCTTCCGAATGCTGTCCATCCCATTTTTACACGTCTGCTTATTTCGGTAGTCTGATTTTTTTTTACTTACCTTGATATTTTGACCCAGATATTCATCTACGTGTTCTATCTCTGTCCCTTCACTGTTTATCATAGGTTTGTCATCTTTGTTTGACACTAGTTTAGTTTTGCTGAAATTAATTTTCAGTCCTTTTTTTAGGGATTCTGTGTGTAGCTCCTCAATCCTCGTATTCAGTGCATTCCACGTGTCGGCTATTAGTACCTTCCATTAATAAGGATTCCCTTATTTTCCCAGTAAGATATCTTCTAGGGCAGCTGTAAATAATTTTGGAGATATACTGTCTCCTTGTATTACTTCTCAGTTGATTTTTACTGGTCACAGGTGCTGTATCCTTTTCTAAATCCTGCTTGTTCTACTGGTTGATATCCGTCAAATTTAATTGTTAACCTATTTGTAATAATCTTTGTAAAGTTGTGAAAGAAATGAAATTGGTCGATAATTTTTCAGATCTGTAGTGTCTCCCTTTTTGTGTATTAGCATTGTTCGGGTATGTTGCCTTGGAATAGACATTTATTAAATAGTATTTTTAGATATGTGATAGCTTCTTCTCCGCCTTCCTTCAGCATTTCTACTAGGATTCCATCGCTTCCAGGAGCTTTATTCCTTTTTATTTCTTCGTGGCTTATTTCGGGCATACTTCAGAGTTGACATTTGTTATCTGTTTTTTCAAGTTCTGCTTTGGGAGTTAGGGGGATCGTTTCTGGAACGGTACAGATCGGTGTAGAACTTTTCAATTGAGTTTACAATATCAGATTTACTTTTTTCTAGTTGTCCATATTCATTTTTAATGGTTATTATGTTTTTCTTTCCTAGTTTCGGTTTGGTATATTTGAGACTTCGGTTTTTCTATGATTTGTTCTATACGGTCTTCTTAATGTTTTTTAATATCCTCTTTTTTCTGTTTTCTTATTACTCGATTAAGTTCCTTAAATTCTGCAGTGTCTCTTTTGTTTTGTCTCAGAAGATCTTTTCTTTGTTTCAGCATATTTTGTGATTCTACTCTCTGTGACCTGTTATTTTGGATTTTTGTTTTCTGTTAGCGGTTACCACTTCTGAGCATGCATTTAATAGTTCTTTTGTTATGATTTCATTGATTTTATTTAAGCTAAGTTTATCAGGATTTAATACTTCTGCGAGTTTTAACTTGTTTTTATATTTTTTGTATTAGATTTTAGTTTATCTGTGTCTATATTCCAAGTTTTTCTAAATTTATTCCTATTTTTATTATATTCCCGGTCTATTCTCCTGCAATAATTTTGTGTAATCCTTTGGTTTAATTATTTGTATCATATTTCTACTTTGTTTATTGCTTCTGATATTTTTTATTTTTTCCATGCTGTCATTGGTCTATCTGTTATAGTCTACCGTGTTGTCTGAAGTCTTATTCTTTGCTTCACTTGTTGTCTGAGGGTAACATATTCTTCTCATGTTCTTGGGTTCTATCGTTTAGCCACTTATAAATCGTATTTTTTTTTCCTTTTAATCATCTCTTCTAGTTCGTCTCTGTATTTCTCCAAATATTTATTTTTGTGTTGTTAAATGCCCAGAACTTCGTTAGCAGCTTTATTTACTTTTTCCTTTAGGTGTTGATACATTTCTGTTGGGGTCAATTCTGCGTTCATCTGTAGCATATTTTGTATCCTCTTCTGATATAGTGATCTAGTAGTAAATTGTAGAATTTCTACTTTATACCTCGCATCTTCTCATCTCTCTGGATATCGTTTTTTTGTCATCTTCCCGTGTATCTTCCCTGGTACTAATCAGTGATTATTTGCACATTCTGCTTGTCTGAATACACTTAAATATTGTATTATTGTTTTTCTGGCTTTTCTTATAATTAATAAATCTTCTTTATTTTTTATAATGGTAATTAGTAATTATAATTAGTGTGTTTTCGGTTTTCTAGAAGGTGCTGCTAAGTGAGTGTGGGCTATTGGAGAGACAATTTATAATGAATAATATTATATGAATCACACAAAAGGGGGGCGAAATATTGATGTACCAACTGTCGCACAATTGCCTTCATTACGTACTACAGCGAGATACTCTTACATATAATTCTAGAGAGTTTAAAGCCGTTTTTATTTCCTAAAATTGCCGAGGAACAACCAGGTTTCGTCTCCAGGCGTGGCACAAGACAAATAATTTTAAATGTAGGACAGACCATAAAAAATCTAAGAGAGTTCAACATCGCACCATATCTGTGCTTCATAGATTATAGTAATACCTTTTTATCTAGTCAATCGAAGTAAAATATAGCAGAATTTGTTTAAAATCAACAATCGTTTTCTCCAGAAACGACAGACACAAACTCAGTAGTGGGTGTGTGCAGAAAATCCTAAGAATGCAAATATCGGAGCAAATTATTGACTATTTTGGACATGTGTTTTGAAGAAATGGTTTTGAAAATCTTATTATTCAGGGAAAGCTATAAGCAAAAGAGGTCTAGGTAGATCTCCTGGACTATCTTCTTCCTCAGCTTTTGCCTTTTAACTTTTGCCTCAGTACATAACAAGATTAGTCAGTACATAACTTTCTCAGTCAGTACATCCATATATAACTTCTATATTGTATGCTCTTCTTATGTTTTCGCTTCTCTCCCTATCCAACAGACTTTTCCCTGATATTCGTCGGAGTGTTTTCATCTCCTTTGTTTCTAGTAGTCGTCTCGTTTTAGATGTGTCAGGTCTTGTCTCCGCCGTGTATGTTACTATAGGTCTAATTGCTGCTTTATAGATTCTCTAGAGCTCGTCTTCTGTCTCGGCGATTAATGCGGCGTCGTCTGCATAACATAATATTTGGATTTCTTTGTTCTCCATTCTGTAGCCATGACCTTTATGTACTGCTTGTATTATTTCGTCCATTATTATATTATAGAGAAGTCGGCTCAACTAGTCACCCTGTCTGACTTTGCTTTGTACTGGTATACACTGTGTTAATTTTCCATTTATCTTTGCCTGTATTCGATTTTGAGGTAGATGTTTTCGATGGTTTGTATAATATTGATTGGTATGTTTCTTTTATACTGTATGTGTAAGACGTCTTCGACTTGGATGCGATCGAAAGCCTTTGTCAGGTCTATAAAACATAGATATGCTGGTTTATTGTACTCGGTGGCCTTTTCTGTGATTTGTCTTAGTACAAATACGGCGTCTACGCAGGATCTTCCAGATCTGAATCCTTGTTGTTCATCTGATAAAGTTGTTAGTTTATTGATTTTATTGGTTAGGACTTTTGTGGTAAGCTTAAGAGCGGTGTTCAGTAGATTTATACTTCTATACTTGTTGGGGTCTTCTTTATCTTCTTTCTTCAACATTGGTATCATTATGCTGTTTCTCCATGCGTCTAGTATCTTGCAGTGCAATATTATTTTTTGTATAAGTTTTGTCATCTCTAGGGTTATACTTTCTCCTCCTTGTTTTAGAAGTTCGTTGGTTATTCCGTCTGGTCCTGGTGACTTTCTATTTTTGAGTGAATGTATGGTTATTTTACTTCCTGAAAACTGATTTCTATTTCGTGTCTTGTCTTAATTCAGGTACGTTATTGTGTTGATTATTATTTTCCTTTGCTTTAAACAGTTCTGTCAGGTATCTTTCCCATTCGTTTGCTGGTATGTTATTGTATTTCTTCAATTCTGTCATTTCTTTCCATTGGTTTCTTATGAATCTCCATATTTGTTTTTGTCTACCATAGAAGTCGCTTTCCATCCTTTTTATAAACTGTTCCCAGTGTTCATGTTTTGTTCTTCTTACCAACTGCTTTGTTTCATTTCGTATTCTTTTATAGGTGTCTCGGGGTTCTGTTGTATTTGATGTTTTGTACTTCGTGTAGGCCTCTCGTTTCTCTTTACATTTCTCTTATTTCTTTTCTAAACCATGGTATATTGTTGTTGATTCTTTTGTTCAGTATGACTTTGCGTTTTCCTAGAGCTTTTGTTGCTGCTTCTTCCATGTTGTTTTTAATTTTCTTTCAGCTCGCGTTTATATCTTCGATGTCGTCTATTTGTTTCAGCTGTATCTTCTGTCTAGCTTCCTTTTGTACATTTCTGTTGTAGAGTCGTTCCACAGTGATTCTACATTGAATTTTTCCTCGGTGATTTCCTGTAGAAAATGATTTAGTGTTATTTTCATTCTTATCTTTGCTGGTACTAGTTTGTGTTCACTCCCTGCGACTACTGAGTTTAAAGTTCGAATATCTAGAATATGCTTTGGGAGGATTTTTCTATTATTGACTATAACATCAATAATATATTTGTGCCCCCTAGAGTTTTCAAATATACTGGAGCTTAAGGTCGAAAAATGTATTATTTATTCTCAGTTCGTTAAAAGCACAGAGATTAGCCATGAGTTCTCCATTTGCGTTGACGACTAATAAGAAGAAGAAAATGATGAACTTATTTACAATTTATTCTGTTCTCGGGTTCAACTACTACGCAAGTTGAAAGCACAAGTCCCATGAATTTAACCTAAAAACTAAATTAAAAATAAATATAATTTTAGATTTATTATGGAAGATCTCTTCCAACCAATAGGTGGTCTTTTAGTTTATTCCGAGGAAGATCAAAGCCAAACCATTGCAGATTGTATAAAAGCTTACATTAGGGATCTTTGGAGATTGGGAGTGTATGTTATTGGCTCTATTTCGCCACCATTTCCACTTTTTAAAGAAGTATTTCAACGGTTTCATCCGGTAAGAATAAAATATATCTTTATATTACCTATTTTTAATCAAAATATTTAGAATACCTAATTTAATCTCATAGACCTAAAAATAATAGTCAATGAAAAGAAAAGAAAAATAAATAAAATATGGAAAATCAGCATTTTTCAAGTTATAATGGAAGTTAGTTACTTTAGTTCGAGGCAATAAGATTTATCTCGGGACTGTGATAAATCCAGGTATCTGAATTTTGTTAGTTATGGGCTTATATAAAGAAAATCTATACGTTTTCTGCAGATATTTCGGCATAATTTTTTATTTAATAACAATTTAGTGTAAAAAAATGCTATTTTATAGATTTTTGGCTTATCATTAAAAAAACCTAATATTTAAGGTAAAATTAAAAATATTTATCTTTTAAAACATAAAGAATGCTTTAAAATTAATATTGCTAAAACTTGTAAAATTAATTAGGCTTCGAAAAATAGGGCAAAATCTTTAATTCTGTATAATTATTGTAAAAATCAACTTAGTTATGTGTTATTATGAACAGAGTTGTGTATTGTGTTCCTTAACAAACTCTCAAAATTTCAAATCGATCCATAAGTTAGATTAAAAGTTATTCTATTTGTTTATCCCATAACCTTTATGGCCTTACGAAAGAACTTTGAAGTAATGGTTAAATAAGTTAGATATGCCGTAGTAGTCCCTTGATTTATCGAATAAAATATCGAAATATTTGTCCTTTTATTCAATCGCATTTATGATACAGGTAAAATTCCCCAAGATTGGCTGAAGTCAATATTCATCCCACTACCAAAAAAGCCAAACCCACAACACTGCAATGAGTTCCGTCTGATAAGCCTTATGAGTCATGCAGTAAAAGTCCTACTAAAAATCGTACATAATCGTATCTATAGAAAGTGCGAAACAATCATCGGAGACGATCAGTTTGGATTCAGAGCCGGCATGGGAACGAGGGAAGCCCTGTTCAGTTTACTAGTTCTCGCCCAAAAATGCTACGACCAACAGAAAGATATATTTATATGCTTTATAGACTTCGAAAAAGCATTTGATAGAGTAAGACACGACCTACTATTAGAACGTTTGCAAGAAGTCGGTTTAGATGGAAAAGACATCAAATTCTTAAAAAACTTGTACTGGAACCGAAACGCCAGAGTTAGGATCGAAGGTTCCACATCCGCAGAAGTAGAAATTAGAAGGGGAGTTAGACAAGGATGTGTTCTGTCGCCTCTGCTGTTTAATCTTTACTCAGAGTTTCTATTTAAAGAAGCATTGGAGGATTCCAAGGATGGAGTCAATGTGAATGGCGTAAATATAAACAGTATCAGATATGCCGATGATACAGTGTTAATTGCGGATTCCGACTTGGGTCTACAACGACTCATCGACAAGACCAACTCGACCTGTGAGCAATTTGGTATGAAAATAAACATTAAAAAAACCAAAGTGATGTCAATCCGAAAAAACCAAAACGTACCTCAACCTTGCACAATAAATGGGCACATTTTAGAACAGGTCAATGGATTTAAGTACCTGGGATGTTGGATCGATAGCAGCCTAAATCCTGATCTAGAAATAAGATCGAGAATAGAACAGGCCAGAAAATCTTTCGAAAAAATAAAAAAACTGCTTTGTGATTCTCGAATAAAACTCGAAATTCGACTACGTTTATCAAAATGCTACGTCTGGTCGTCTCTTCTATATGGAGTTGAAATGTGGACCCTTAAAACATCAACCGTAAATAAATTGGAGGCCTTTGAAATGTGTAAACGAAGAAGTGCTGCATAGAATAGACAAGAAAAGGGAACTTTTTAACACAGTAAAAGTTAGAAAAACATCATACCTAGGTCACATACTGAGAAATAATAAGTACCAATATGCCCAAGAGAGGCCTAAGAAGGAAAAGACTATCGTGGCTCAGAAACATCCGACAATGGACAGGACTAAATTTTGAACAGCTAATAAGAACAGAAGATAGAGAACAGTTTAAAATTGTAGTAGCCAACCTCCATTGAGGAGAGGGCACTTTAAGAAGAAGAAGTCCGTTGATAGAATGGCTATCCAGATATTCAGATTTTACAATTTTAAACTTCTCCCTCTGGAGAGTCATTAAACAAAATTTTACCATACTCGCTCAAGAATTTCACAAGCCTTTGTAGAAGTCCCTCTATTAGTAGAGTTATGACAAACCCTGGAGCAGATATTAGATCTGATCACAATCTTTTAATGGCTGATGTCAGGCTAAAACGAATAGAGAAAAAACATCAGCAAATGAATTTTACTATTTCAGGTGTTATCAAGAACAGTTACATGAGGAAAATGAGAACAAGGGAAAATGTTGAGAACATATGGAAGTTATCTCAGCCAAATCAAAATCAGCCAAAACCAAGAAAGCAACTGGATCAGACAACTTCCCAGTTGAACTCTTAAAAATGATAAGAGAAGTCCACATCAGTGCTCTAGTTAAACTTTTTAGACTTCTTCTCCTTCTGGAGAGTTATTCAACAAAATTTTACCATACTCGCTTAAGCATCCCACAAGCCTGTGTAGAAGTCTCTCTATGGGTAGAGTTGTGACAAACCCTGTAGCAGATATTAGATCTGATCACAATCTTTTAATAGCTGATATCAGGCTAAAACGAATAGAGAAAAAACATCAGCAAATGAATTTTACTATTTCAGGTGTTACCAAGAATAGTTACATGAGGGGAATGAGAACAAGCGAAAATGTTGAGAAAATATGGAAGTCATTTCAGCCAAATCAAAATGAGCAAAAACCAAGAAAGCAACTGGATCAGACAATTTCCCAGTTGAACTCTTAAAAATGATAAGAGAATTCCACATCATTGCTCAAGTTAAACTTTTTAATGACGTGTATACTACTGGTGAAATACCTGAGGAATGGCATAAGTCTGTTTTTATAGCAATTCCGAAGAAGTAACGGGTAAAAATATGCGACGAGTATAGGTTAATTAGTCTGAGTTACACATTGAAAATTTGAATTCGCTTTATTCATGGAAGAATAAAAAGTCATTGCGAAAAAGACCTAGATGAAACCCAGTTTGGATTTAGAAATGCGCTAGGTACACGTGAGGTACTTTCTGGTTTAAATGTACTTCTCCAAAAATGCCACAACCAACGATATTTATGTGGCTTTCATCGATTAAGAAAAATCTTTTGATTGGAGCATGGGACGCTGTTGAAAATATAAAGAACCAAGACATTGATGGTAGAGCCCTACGTATCATAGAAAACTTGTACTGGAAGCAGAAATCAGTCGTGCGAGTCGATGGGATATTAGCCGACAAATGCTAAATTAGAATAGGCTTTAGATAGAAATGCATTCTATCCCCGCAGTTATTTAACTAAATCTACTTGGATATAACTATATCTACATTCAAACAGGCTTTGTGAGATAAAGACCTTGGAACGAAAATCATTGGTGAGCTGATCAATAATCCTAGATACGCTGTCGATACTATTATTTTATCCGACAATTTCCAGGGTCTTCAAGAGTTATTGGATTACGTAAATACAGGAAGAGAAACGAGTCTAAAAATAAATGCTTCTAAGACAAACCTTATGATATTTAGTCGCCAACGTCACGACAATGCTTTCCTATAGATAGATCAACAAAACATTGAGAGAGTATCTCTTTTTAAGTATCTGGGATGCTACATTCCAAACTAACTAGACCCAAGCAAAAGATATTAAATGCAGAATTTAAGCAGCTCGTACCATACTTCTAAAAATAAAATCATTATTCTGTAACCACAGCTTAAACCTCAAATTACGTCAAAGAATAATCAAATGTCAGTGTTTTTGTTTAATTTACTGTTTTATTTTGAGAACAACTTCCGAAGTGGAAATTCAAAACATCAATAAACTTACTTTAACCTTTAATTGTGGCTTATTCCCATTTAAATAGTAATTACTTCAAAAACTTCGCAAGGGAACACAAGATTTAATAAAAAAAGATAACAACTTATGCAAGGCCCAACACTTAGTATAATAGAAATAACAGATATTAACAAAATAATTTAGAAAAAGTTTAGGGAAGATATAAGGTAGTACAAAATAACAGAGTTAAATGAAATACTAAAGAAAAGAACGGCATACGAAACTGGAAGAAGAAGACAAACGAAGATAGAAGTCTAATTACAAAATTAATTAATAATGAAAACGAAGAAATACAGAAAAAATAAAGATAATGATAAAAAAGTACTACCAAACATACGAGCCAAAAAATAAGAAAGCTCCAGATGAAGACGGAATAGTATTGGAAATTATAAAGTATGGAAGACAACTCATCATAAAAATGCTAAAAATTATTTTTAATAAATGTATAGAAATAAGTGACGTATCTTGTAATAAATAAGAATACTATATACCTTACATTAGCCTTTTATCAGTCTTGTAAAAGCTCTTTGTGAAGATACTAACAAACTGGATAGTTACCACCCTGGGAAACAGGCAAGATTTAGAAAAAGTTATAGCTTTTTCTGTTGTTGTAGCTATATACGAATACAATATACCGCTCTCCATAGCTATGGTAAATTACTAAAAGGCATTTGATCTCTATAGAAGTTTGGGAAATCGTCAATGCCTTTAAAAACAATAGAGTTGACCGATATACAATTTAAAAAAAAATCATTAAGTCTTTCACCCAATAATTTCTTTTTGTTCAGGGCCATCAGAGTAGGTAGCACATTTGTACGCTGGTCATTTAGGAACGAACATTTCTGGAGACCTATTGTTGGTCTTAGTATTTGAGTTTGTAGCAGGGTCAAAGTTGAATATTCATTATTAACTTTGATGTTTTTCTGTACTACAGAGACAGAATCTGCGCATGCTTGACATAATGTAATATTTTATTTTTTAAAAATCGAATTTTAGGAAAAAAATTTCGACGAAGTTCCCGGACCAATTTTATACTCTGTTTTGCCATTTAAAAACATCGTCCACATATATGATGTACAATATCTCGTACTTAAATTGCAGCTGCTGCTTAGGCAAGGAGACATCCGATTTGAGACCATGTTCGGACGTCAAAGAGAGTATTTGGTGAAATGGAGCGATCTGTTTTTCGTTATTAATGCACATCCTCAGTTTAAAGTGTTAGCAACGTTTTTTGCTAATAATTTAGAAGTTCCCAAGAGGGTTCATGTATTTAATGATGACATATATAAAATGTATGTTCATTTAGAAAATAACGGTAAGTTGTGTCTTTTCCATTTCATACCATTCAATATCATCTAATAATAATAATAAACTGTTTAAACTTCTGTCTAGAGCAGGGGTCGGCAACCTGCGGCTCGCGAGCGGCATGCGGCTCTTTGGATGTGAAGCTGCGGCTCTTTAGTTCCATACGCAAATATTATTTATTTTACCAAAAAAAAGTTTTAAAAAGCCTTCTGATTAACCTCACCGATCCTCTCAGTTACTTACACTCGCTTCCCACCGCACCCCTCCACCGTGACACGCGACGTTACTGTCGTCAAAAAGTAAGGCATCTCAAAGAAAAAGAGAAGAACTGAGGATGAGCATCGAGAATTTAATCGAAATTGGACAGAGTTATTCGCTTTATTATGCAACTCAGATAGCCTTCCGACTTGCCTCATTTGCCAAGAAAAACTCGCATACAATAAGAGATCAAATTTAGAAAGACATTTTACTAAAAAGCATACTCAGTTTGCTAGTAAAGTCCAGCCGGCGAAGGACGAAAAAAAGCTGTCGATGAGCTCTAAAAACAAAAACAGCAATCAAGTTACATATTATGTAACTGGACCCAATCTACAAGTAATGTCAGTCAAATCATTCACAGATGGTGAGTGAGAACTGTTTAGTGATTTCAAAAACGAACCAGAAATCTTGAATAAAATCAAAGATTTACCACTATCCGCTAAAACAGTACAAGATAGAGTAGCTAAAATATTTTCAAATTTAACATATTTGCAGGTGGAAGATATTCAATTTTCTTCCGCCTTATCACTTGCTATAGATGGGTTTTGCAATGTAAAAGAACGGCACAAGTTGCCCTTTTTATCAGGTATATGTCTTCCCAAGGTCCCAAAGAACTTCTGGGATTGCTACCGCTCTAGGGACAAACTAGAGGGGATATATAGCACATGCCGTGCAAAAATTCGTTGAAGACAATGAGATCGATTTAAATAAAATCGTTTCAACGATTCTTCAAAGCAAATTAAAGCACGAAATTCTTACGTTTCACTGCATAATACACCAAGAAATCGCTTTGTGCCCAAACATTTCCAGCCGAAATAGTTGAGGTCATGAATTTGGTGATCAAGATTGTTAATATCTTGTCAAAAGCACTCTACCATCGTCAGTTTAAAGAATTCTTAAACGAAATGGAGGCTCAGTATTCCAACCTCCTTCTTCATAACAAAGTGCGATGGCTTTCCAAAGGTAAGGTGTTGAAACGTTTTACTTTGTGCTTGAATGAGATAAATACATTCCTAAATGAAAAAGGCATCAATCACCCTGAATTAGGGAACGACAAATGGTTGCAAAAATTTTACTTTATGGTGGATATCACAGCCAAATTAAATGACCAGAATCTAAAACTGCGAGGAAAAGGAAACCCAGCCACTGTTTTGGTGGAAGAATTGGTTTGTTTTGAAGAAAAATTAATTCTTTTTGCAGAAGATATTCAGAGCGGTAAATTACTTCATTTTCAATTTCTAAAGCAATATCGCGATAAAACCAGTGCAACTGTTGACACGAATTACTTCAGCACAGTTACAAAAAAATTAAAGATGAATTTGCTGACAGATTGGAACAATTAAAAACCAACAAAACTACTTTAGCATTTATAGTAAATCCTCTCAACACAAATAATATCGAAATTCACGTTGAGCAATTTGGAATTCACACTGGATCTTTAGAAATGCAATTGATCGATTTAAAAAGTAAAGCTTTGTGGAGTGGAAAATTTACAGAATTGAAAAGCAAGTTGGAAAAGTGGGAAGTCCAGAAATGTATGTACGTAACGCAAAAAAGTGGACAGCTTTGAAAGAAATATCGCGAATTGAGGGACTTATAATTGCCGCATGGAATAGTCTTCCAGATTGCTACAGTGAGGTGTAGAAGTTGGCATTTGGATTACTAACTATCTTCGGATTGACATATTCTTGCGAGCAAGCGTTTTCTTGCATGAATATAATTAAAAGTAAACTAAGAAGCCAACTAACAAATGAAAATTTAGAGTCTTGTTTGAAACTTCAAACAACAAGTTATGAGCCAAATTTATCCAAACTTTCTAATACCATGCAAAGCCAACGCTCCCATTGAGATTATTTGCTCAACTGTTTGTTATTGAAGTGCAAGTTAGTGTTATAATTGAATATTTAGTTGTTTTAATTTTTTTACTTTAATAAATGAAATGTATGAAAATATATATATGAAAAACACTATATAACTACATATGAATAAATAGATTTTTTATCAAAGAACTTTATTTATGCGAGTACTATTTATAGTCGACGAAAAAATTGTGGCTCTTTAAAAACTTTAAAATTTTGTAAATTGTAATTTTTGGCTCTTTCGACTCAAAAGGTTGCCGACCCCTGGTCTAGAGTAAAACCAAACAAGTTCAAAAAATATTTGGTAATTTATAAAAAAATAGCTTTTTAAGAGAAGGAGGAAAGTTTTTAAAATACAGTGGTATCTTTGATTTGAATATAACTGCATTTTTACCAAAAGATGCTCTAGCCAGGCTCTACTGCCTCAAGTGCAATGTTGTTTATTACGAGTATTACATCTTGGACATCCACTAGCTCGTTGTACATGGTTTTTGTTTTTCTAAAGATCATTTTTAGACCACCTTCATTGCTAGCTGCATTTAGGTCGCTTATAAGTTCTTGTAGTTCTGCAGGATTATTAGCAATCAGAACGATGTTATCCAAAAATTTTAGATGGCTGAGATATTCTCCATCAATGGATATTTCTTTGTTCTGCTAGTTTATTTTGTTGAATATATTTTCTAGAGTTGCAGTGAAGAGCTTTGGTCATATTGCGTCTCCTTGTCGGACGCCTCTGGTAGTGGAAAATTTTGAAGTGTTTTCATAAATGTTTACATTGCTTTTGCTTGTCTGTAAATATTTGCTAAAGTTTCTTATGTGCGGTTTGTCAATGCCTTGGTTGGTCAAAGCTTCTACTACTACCTTGGAATATATAAAACCAAAAGCCTTCTCGAAATCTATGAAGGTTTATGCTAGCAGTATTTCATATTCTTTAGCTCTACTTATTAGTTCGCGAAGCATGTGGATATGATCCATGGGACTGAATCCACTTCTGAAGCCAGCTTGCTCTCTTGGCTGTACAGCATCTAAAGTTAATCTGTTGTTGATGATCTTTGTGAATATCATGTATATGATTGGTAGTAGACAATTTAGTTTGTAAAAATTTAATATAATTAAAGTAATATTAATACCCCGACTTTATTATCAATTTTAAATGAAATAAAATAAATTTTGCCATTATGGTCATTTTTTACCAGGGTCAGCAAAAAGTTGAATATTAAAGTCATCTATTTTCATTTATTCTATTCAAGTCATCATACTAAGATCTCAACAAACTTTTAGAATATTTGAAATCATAATTGTGATCCTTATCAATTGTTGAGCACTATATTACGATGACGTCAGAATATTTGCTGGAACAGTCATTAGGGCAAATCAGTGAATGGTAGTGCAACATTGCAAGTACTCCGTGTGTAAGGGAGTGTTAAGTTCGAAGCTGGCTCTGCCACGTTGAGGCCGACGATGAACTAGCAACGCTGCAGCGTTTTCTTCCATTTGATTAACATTGTCCGTAAGAGCCAACGCTGAAATCTACTGGTGAATCCGAGTTTAGTGTTATAATTTCATTCAGTTTATTTGTTATCACTTTGGTTGTTAATTTTAGTGTTGTGTTTAATAAATTAATTCCTCTATAATTTTCCGTGTCCGTTTTGTCTCCTTTTTTGAAGAGATGTATTAGGCTGCTTGATCTCCATTCTTAAAGAATTATGTTTTGTTCTATTGTTTTTTGGATAAGTTTTAATAGTTGTTTCGTCAGATCTGATCCTCCGTACGGAGTTCGTTCCGTATTCTCTCCTGGTAATTTTCTGGTTTTTAATTTAATTTTCTGGTTTAATGCCTTTACCTCTTCTTCCTTAATATTTATTTCTTCCATTCCATTTTTTTGTTTTGATTTTATTTAAAATTTCTATTTAAATTTTATTCATTCTTCTTAAAACTTCTTTGTTTGTGGCGTATTCTGTCCACGATATTCTCAGAATTCTGCTATACGTCCGTAACTTGAATGATCAAATGAGTTTTTTCTTTAATGTCGCATTCGAAGTGCAACCTTCCATTCCATAAAACAAAGTGAGAAAAGATATCACCTCACCTAACTCTTAGCTCCGACTTTGAATCTTTTGTGCAAAGCATTCTTGTCATTTTGCTAAATTTTGTCTGAACCTTTTCCATCTTGACTTTAATTTTCTGAATGTAACCATTTGTGGAATTAATCATTATTCCCAGATGTGTATATTTTTCCTCTCGTTGACATTTGTTTAGTTTATTAGAAGTGATAGAATTATTGGAAATACTGAAAGATAAATCTAGCAAATAATAATTAATAGAGGCAGGTTCTTTAAGAAAAAGGTTGAAAACTTTGATTTGATACAAACAATGGGAACAGGTGGTTGCTCTATGACAAAAAAATAAAAGGGAAATGGGTAGTGTATTTTTTAATAATTTTGAAATCTCGATATTTTTTGTCTCAAACTTGCAGCGTAGACTTTTAGAATCGACTTTAAAAAATCTAATAGTGTTAAAGTTTTTAATAAGTTTTAACTAATTTATTTTATTTTAGGATTTCTGTCGGGATATTCCGCTGGAGCAAGGGTATTCATACACACAGTGAGTGCCCTTATGCAATATTTTGACTATGACTATGTGCATGTTAGAAAAACAGTTTATAACTGGGATGACTTAATGTACACGTTAAGTAAAATGAAATTTCAAAGGATAGATGTTCCATACATGCAAAATCCATCGATTCTTAAGACTAAAAAGAGAAAAAAGAAAAAATCCCGTAGAGCAGATAAATCTAAACTAGAAGACAATAGAACTAAAGTAATGGATTCAAAAAATAAGCAAACTATTTCAGAGGCTTTATCTTCTACAAAAGATAGTGTTGTAAATGAAAAACAAAGTGTAAAAAAAAGTTTGAAAGGAAACAAAAAAGCGAAAGCTATTTCAAAAATGAACTTAAAATCTAAGGAACTACGAAATGAGCAGTTATATAATGTTAAAGACAATGTAGGTAATTCAGAAAATATTATAACTGCTGTGATAGAAAAAACAAATAAAATTGCACAATTAAATTTACACGTAAAGGATGGAAGAATAGAAAATGTACCAACGTCAAATAATAATTCAGTAAATTCAGAAGATAATTTCGTGTCTTCATTGGTTTCAGAAATTTTCCTAACTATAACGGAAGGGCAGATGAAAATTTTACCAACAAATGCAAAAATAAATTTAGATGCGCAAGAACAAACAATGAATGGAACATTTAAAAAACCATCAGAAAGTCCAAAAATATCTCCAGAATTTCCAGATAAAAAAACAGAAACACAAATAGAAAAACAGTCAAAAAGTTTAAAGATCTCTAAAGGGATTTCGAAACAAAATAAGGAAGGAGAATTAGAAACAAAAGCAGGCAGATCAGAATCATCTGCAGAAATTCCAGAAGCGGTAATGGAAGAACAATTAGAAAAACGACAAAAAATTACAAACATATCATCAGGACTTCTACAACAAACGACTGAAAAACATTTAGAAAAACAATCAAAACTTGCCAAAACATCTCCGGGACATCAAGAAAAAAGCACTGAAGGACAATTAGGAAAACGAACAAAAAGTCAAGAACAATTAGAGAACCGACAAAAACTTCCAAAAATATCCTCAGGACTTCCACAACAAACGGCTGAAAAACAGTTAGAAAAACAACCAAAAATTGCCAAACCATATCCGAGACATCAAGAAAAAATCACTGAAGGACAATTAGAAAAACGAATAAAAAGTCCAAAAATAGACCCAGAGGTACCAGAACAACAAAGTAAAGGAAAATTAGACAAGGAACCAGAATTTCTAAAGCCACCGCCAGGATTTACAGCAAAAAGGAAGGAACAACAATTAGAAAAACAATTAAAAAATCCAAAAACATCCATAGAATATAACGGGGAGGGACAATTAGAGAAATTGTCAGATGTTTCAAAACAACCTTCAAGATTTACAAATAGAATTGAAGGGCAATTAGAAAAACGACCAAAAGGTCCAAGAACACCTCCAGGGTCACCACCTCCGTCACCAGATTCTGGGGACCGTGGGGGTTACATAGAAAGAACAAGAGAATTAGTACTTCAACACATCCCTGTCTCACGAAAACGAGCGACTCCTGTATCTCCAACGAGTGATTCTTTACCGTCAACAAGTGCACAAGTACAAACATCTGGTTTAAAGAAATCTGCGAAAAAGTTAGATACTGTGGCGATACAAGAAACTAAAAATACTTGTGAAGTATCTGATTTAAAAAACACAATAAGTATAAAACAAATTACTGAAAAATTAAGAATGAACCAAGTTAGTATACGCGAAGAATTAGGGAAGCCAGAGCAAGAAATTTCTATTACTAGCACCACTACAGGTAAAGTATATTTTAATGACATAAAACACTTTTTTCCTTATTCTGCTTCTTCTTGTAGATAAGAAATAATGCTTTCCAGTTTATCCCAAGGTTTTCGTGATTTTTACTGATCACCGTCCCCATTGAAACAAACTTTTTGTGATGTTATGCTCCTTTCATCCAGTTAAGCTCCAATGCGCTTGTTGCTTCTCTAGAAGGGCTGCGGAGTTTTCATTTACAGTTACAATTCTAGATTGGACAAGAAGATCTGATCAGCGAGTAATATCTTTATTACTAACTATGTCTAAGTAGATTGTCCAACCCACTGACTCTGGTTAAACAGATTTATTATGGTAAAATGGCACAGAATTTGTATTAAAGTGCGCCATATGTTATCGTTATATTTTTAGGTAGAGGATCTCTTGGTCAATAGGTAGAACAACGGTGGGCTGCCATTTCTAAACTCAGCACTTTAGCAATTGTAGCCTGTTGAGATCTTGGATAACCACCCGTATTCTGGAGCGGTTAAAAGAACTTGTGGTACTTCGGTGATCACACCGAATTTCATCTTTCTTCTATCTGCATAATTTGACATTAATTCGTTTCTGTAATTCGTGCTGTAGGTTTCTTACTTCTGCTGTATTATTAAAGTCAATATAAGTGGCAAGACGATTTTTGGTTTGTCTCTTGGCAGGGTTATTCTTTTTTAATTTCATACGGATCTTCCCATTGTTTTGAAATTTGTGCGACTGGTCGATGTCGTTGTGGATTATATAGCCAAACAAAATCACCCCCTATGAAGCTGTGGGTGATTTTGGTCACCATTCGATAATCGAGAATTATATTGATCTTTCATATCACTGGCTATCTGGATACGTTATCGGGTAAGGTCGTGAATGTTGTTGATCCTTAACTTCATCTGGTCGACATATTAATTCGCTTGCCCAGTTTCTTCCGAAGGTTTAAAACCAAACTTCACGTTACACGACAGATAGATTGTAGGACCCAACATCAAACAAACGAAGTTCTAGGCAGTGGATCCATAGGCATAGCCGATCGATAGGCCACCAGAAATCTACTGGTCCCAATCTCTTTTATGTTTAGATACAACTCTATAAAGATGTTTGCGCATCGTTCGATACAAACCGTTGCATCTGACTGAGAATTCAAAAGGTGTAGTGTTTAAAAAGGCCAAGTACATCTCTAAGACAACTCTCTAAAACAGCTGAAAAACCCGTTGACCAGTATATCTGCAGTGATATACGCCTCCTGGTGTGGGATTGCATATGGATGTCTATGTAAAAAATACTCAATAGAGTACTTTTTAAAATACTCCATTGCAATAAGGATATATTTATTTCTTACATACGTTTCTAGAAACAGTCCTGCAATGACTACTATCTTCTTAAAACTGCCAACATTGTACTGAGTCATAGGTGCTTTCTTTACTAACTGGACCATTGCCCTTTGCTTACAACTCACATATTCGGTATCACATTTTTCCATATATTTTGCAGTTTATCCAATAGAACGGTTCTCGAACCTTTAGTAATGTCTTCGTAATCCCAAAGGATGCACCTAATGTACCGTCATGTAACTGATGCAACATCTCTGTCATTTTACATTTGGGTAAAATTAGCTGTAGCTTAGATTTTGTATCATCGTCATTTTCAAAGATTATATACATAAGATTATGTTTTAATATCAGGAAATTCTATTGGTTCTAATAGGATTTAACATCCAGGCAGGTTGGTCTTTCACCTTTAGGTTTCCAATGCAAAACACGTTTCAAACTTAAATTATTTTTTATGGTGTCTTGTAGTTATTGAGGTAATTCTTCGCAAGTATCGTCTATTCCTAAAAGGCTTGCATTGAGCTGGTTGTACCACTACCTGTGGTTGCTACCCCAATGCAAAGATATCTATCTCTGGAGAAGAAATCGAACAGGTCAGGCAATTTAAATACTTGGGTTGTTTGCTGAACGAGGGTTGGGACCCCGAGAATGAAATAAAGAGCAGAGTTGAACAAGCCAGAAATGCTTTTTTGAGGCTTCGTAAGTTTCTGACTGATCGCAAATTGGACTTCAACCTCCGATATAAGATGCTTAAGTGTTACGTGTGGCCTGTTCTCTTGTACGGAATGGAAGCATGGATGTTAAAGGCCAGTTCCATTAACAAACTTGAAGTGTTTGAAATGTGATACCTGCGTCGAATGCTTAGAATATCATGGACGGACAGGGTTAGAAATGAGGAAGTACTCAGAAGAGCGGGCTTACAGGATATGGAACTTTTTAGTTATGTAAAAAGTAAGAAGACTGCATACTTGGGGCACATATTACGAGGAGAAAGATACACTTTTCAGCAACTGATACTCGAAGGGAAGATAGAGGGTAGGAGAGGTCTGGGACGTAAAAAATGTCATGGCTACGCAATATTCGACAATGGACAGGAATTCACAGCTATGAAATGCTTCGAAATGCTGCTAAAAACAGAATTTTTTAATCCTGACTATTTAATATCTCACCTGACAAGACGATATACGGTGGACGCTTACGCAGAAATGCACGTCACCTTAAGAAGAAGAAGAGCTGGTTGTAGTCAATACAAAAACGTGTGAAATCATGTTTCTTCTTCACCAGAACCACAGGGAAGTGCACGGACTATTAGGTGGTTCAATGATTGCTTGTTTGCATACATCTAATAAGGTCTTTAGCTCCATCTCGTTTCGCAATTAGAAGTATTTTTTGTTGTTGTTTGATTGGCTGAGCATCTCCATAATTGGTTTTATGAGTCACTCTACTTGTTTCGGCCTTCTCCTTTTCATCCATGGCAAAAATATCTTGAAAGTCTACGCCTTTACTTTTCGTGTCGGTGCATTTTCAAGATCTTGGCATTAATTAATAACCATATCAACAAGCTCTTTCGAATATTTTGACTTCGATTGATTGTCAGCCATAGTCACAGCACAAATAGACACTCCAAAGTGTCCTACCAAAGTTCTTCTATTCAATTTGATAACAGTTTCCTTCAAGTTCATGACTCCTGACAATAACGACCCTGTTTTAAAGTTACTACGGCAACATCAACAGTTTTAAATATTGATCTGACCTGATAGGAGTGCATACCTTGTAACGTCAAATAAGTAAAATATGAATAAAATATTACTAACAAAATTTTCAAAAGTTTTATTCAAATATTTGAAAATCTTATTCTTTTAAATAAATGTGAAAGGTACAGTTGGTATTGTTTGAAATATTTATACATAGGTAAAGAAATAATAAATAAGACTTACTCACAATCAATTTAATTTAACTATCAGACGACCGCTTTCGCTTTCTACAATATGCAAAGCATCCTCAGGTCTCGATACAAAGTTAAACAAATGCTGAAATATTAAAAACCCATATTAGGGTGTTGTCTAATAACGATAAACAAAGTAGGTGTTGTAAATTGCAATAATTATGCCAATATTACATGTCTGTGGTTTTATTTAAATAAGTAAGTTGAATAAAAGGTATAAAATTTTTTAAAAAGTTTAAACAGACAAGGTAAGGCCCACAAATTGTTATAAAATAGTCTCTTCAATTGTAATAAATTAATAAATGAGCAAATAAATAAATAAAATAAACATTACTTACATGCCGGTACTCTATTAATAGATGGATGGTAGAACATGGTTGAAACTACTTTATATTGTTGAATGGAGAACTCAATTCTATTATTGCAGTTGTTTGACAGTAAACGGGAAGTTCTTGAGGAGATAGATTTGATCCAATGAAGAAGAGATATGTGTGAGATTGTTTGTTAAATGTAAGTGATGTAATATACCATTGTGTTATTAAAAGCTATTTATACTTATTCGAGAGATATATTTTTGAAATGTGTGATATTTATTGAGTAATTGTTTTATGAAGGTGACAGTTTTATGACAATGAATAAGTTTTGATGTAAAAATTGTGTGGGTGTGCAATTATTTTCCAACTTGGTTATTAAATTACTTTGATAAAGTTCTATTGGCAATGAGTTAATTATTGGAAAGTCAAGTAAATAAAATATTAAAATACAAACAATTAAGGATAATTTAAACACACTAAAACAGAAAACACTTAGAAGGGACGAAACAAACATTGAATTTAAAAAGGGGGAAGGGCTTTAATGCACTACATCGCAGTCTTGGGCACAATGAGTTTTTTTATGTTTTATCTATTAGATTTTAGTGGTAAATTTGACAGATGTAGGTTAGCATGTGACAGTTCTTCTTCCGTTTCTCAATACTGTAAGTTAAGTTATCTAGTTTTATGAAATATGCTGTTATTAATGAATGTCTATAAAATTGTTTCAATTTAGATATCAAAAGTAAATTGATGTGTTTAATATTGGCATACTTTAACAATCTTTAATTAATCAAATTTAATGTAACAATATGGATAATTGAAATACAACTAACTCAGTCTAATGTCCAAATTACTGAACAAATTAAAGTAATTCTTTGGCAACTGAACATGTACATTTTATAATCAAATGTAGGTATAATAAGTTTACAAAGTTTTTTATTTTTATTTGAAATTGTTGTAGGTGTGAGTTATCTGTCAGGGTATTTTTTAATTATTTGAGATATTTATTTCAAATTCTGATATAGTAATATCTGATATACTAATATGTAACCAAAGTAACAAATGGATAATTATTGATGGTAATTAATTTATGGGCTCAAGAAATTGACTGAATTATAAAGCCTTCAATAATTAGTTGGTAGTTCTAATATCTGACAGTTGGAACCGGAAATTGTTATATACGAACAGGTAGAATGATCGTCTATTTAAACCGGTATAAGGTAAATTTATTCTTATTTCAATTTTCGGTGTCATATGAACAGATATTCCTCACACCTACATGGACAATGGTGAGTTTGTACAATTGTTTTAAGTAACACTTTTTTTTTTTTCAATTAATAGCTGTTTGTGACAATTAATATTTCTATTTGAAATGTAAATTTGTGTATAATTGTAATTAGTAAAGATGTATTCAATTAATACAGCTAGTCTGAACGATTAACGTGTTATGTTTGATGATGCTCAAAACACGTGTTGAGTTTGAAATCAAATTTTTTTGTAAGATGAGTATATTTCGGAACCAGATGGAATGTAATAATTTATACATAATTCCATTTTTTAAATCAAGGCAAATGCCGTATAAATTCATATTACCGACGTTCTTTGTAGTCAATAGGGCTGTACTTCCATTAATGGCACTTTCAATAACATTTGAAACATTCTTCTTATTGGCAATATTCTCTTCGACGTAACCAATCGTCACAGCTGCCGATTTTAACCAATCGTCACAGCTGCCGATTTTCATCCTACTTGCCGTTGGATTTGATCTATTTTCATGCCACTGTTCGCCATCATTGTAGCGGACTTACGTCGAAACGCATGTCCTGTGTATTTGTCAGGATCGCAAATTGCAAGGAACATGATACAAAGGTATTAAAACCATTTACTTAATTAGTGCACTTCCCTTTATCATACCGTAAGAAAACTCGATCTGTACTTACATTTTTGGGGCGGAATAATAAATACTTCTTCACAAAACGCACATAATTACTGGCATAGCTATCAGCAACTGTAAAACGTCGAGCCATCACAGTCTTAGATGGTCAGATAGTAATAATCAATACGCATCAATTTTCCTTGATGTTATGTAAGCATAAATTCACGTCTTCTGAGCCAAAGATTCCGCAAATGGCTACAAGCATCTTTCTTGAATACATACGCCTTTTTTGCTACGTCATTCAACACATCCAGAAATGGTTGTGAATTATTGTTTTCCATTTCCATGATGAATTTGACCGATCCTTCTATACAGTTATGATGTCTATCAAGATAGTATCTAACGATTCTATTCCATGAGACCATATGGGGAACATGTAATGTACATGCCTCCATCACATTGTTGTGGGTTGTGAGTTTTACGTCTTATTTGTACTCATTATTTGTTTAAAATTCTTTCATAATATATTTGTTAATAATGGAGATTAGGAGGAACTCTTAATATAGTTTATAAAAAAAAAACTTTGACAAAGTTATGAGCTAAGAGAGATATGAACTTACTTGAAAATACATTAATATAAAATATATTTTAGGAGCAACATATAAAACATTCGTCCAAAACGATGGTCCTATTCCTGATAATGGATTTGAAAAAAATGTAGTTACAAGTGAATTGATCTGTAGCATGAGAGGTATTATGGTTTTGACCGAATCAGCCAAAAGCAGGAAACTTCAATCGATGAGATCGGATGCGATCATAGTGGAACCAATAGATTTATTCATGGCTAAGATACAATCCCAGTTCAATGGTATTAAAAATGTTTACTATTATGGTACCTCGTACCGTCTTCTAGAACCAGATACGTCGTTTTCTTGTTTGGAAAATGATAGTGGATTGTATTTAATTAAAAGAGGCTAAGAAGTATATATATATATATATATATATATATATATATATATATATATATATATATATATATATATATATATATATTATGTTTGTAAAACAAAATAAGACTATGTACAGCAAGTATTTAATAAATTATTATTTATTGTTTTATCTTACATCCTTGTATTAATTACTTGATTTTATAAAAACTCGTATTTATTAGATACCATTCCCATATAGATATAAAGATTTTTTTATTTTGCATTTTACATTTTTATTTTATTAAAAATGTAAAAGAAGGAGGTATTTGTGGTTAATGATAAAATTGAATAATAGAAAAATCAGTGTGATATTAGATTAGAAATACAATAAATCAACCTAGCACACCTAATGACAAATTAGTAAACAGTAGAGTAGAAGGCATATTGTACAAACTGCATCGTATAAGGACATGAAATTCGGTTGGGTAGAGTTAACCAGACATGTGAGCTCCCACTTCGCATAGGATTAGCCTTGGCAGCGTTTGGCAAGCCGCTTATACGTACTTCGACTCTTTAGAGGTCGAAATACGTATAAGCGGCTTGCCGTTGCCCGGCATCGAAATAAAAATCTAATACCGTCATTATGTTTTAGTTCTTTACTCTGTTTGGAGTACCAGAAACTGAACTCCAAACTTTGACCATGATGAACGGCATGTGGAATGCATATTTTAAATTCCCTTGCCGACTAATTCATCAATCTGTCTGCTTTGCAGGTTGTAGAAAGCACAGTGGTAAATATTTGAATTTTTGTTTCACCAAGTAGGAAATCTTTGACCAATATGTGTTACCCGTACTCACTTATGGAGCGTACACATTAATACTCACAGAAAAGGTAGTGAATAAGATTCGCGTAACTCAGAGAACTACTGAGGTTGGGTGCCGCTCTGAGAGTCACCGCCATATCAGACAATCGATGGACCAGACATATTGCCGAGTAGAGACCAAGACAAGAAGCACTGCGGAGCAGGTTTTTCGGTCAGAAGGTGGCGAGAAAAAAGGCAAAGAAGGTGGCTACTTCATCTATTTATTGAAGACGTTCATCAGAAAGCATCATCAGTTCATCTAAAAAGAACAATATGAAAAACCAAACATCCATAGAAAAGTTATTATAAGTGTGTTACCTCAAAAAGACATGTAGCAGTCAATGATATTAAATATGTAAAGAAGCTTACGACATTAATTATGTCGTATTATCAATTAATTGTCTATACAACATACTCATTTAATACCCAATGTCGTAAGCTTCTTTACATATTTAATTTCATTGACTGCTACATGTCTTTTTGAGGTAACACACTTATAATAACTTTTCTATTTTTTTTTATTTAAACATAGAACCCACATCAACAACCAAGGGTTATTAGTGGGGAGACATACACAGTAGTACAGTTTGATAAATTAAAGTTTATTATAAATGCTTATGTCTTTTAGAGACTGCAATAAATCCGAGATATTTGTCGTAAGCGCACTTCTCAGGCTTCCACTAATTCCTCGGCATGTTCTCTGAGGTTGGAACTGCGGACAGTCGACTATTAGATGCTGGTTCTTTATTTAGAAGGTGTTGGTGTTTTAGTATTGTGTGGCCGATTCGAAGACGATTTACGATTACTTGATCTCTTCTTTTTCCTTGTTGTGGAAGGCTGGCGTCTACTCGAGGCTTTATTTTTTTCAACTTAGAGCCTGTTGCATCCCAGGTTGCTTGCGATAAATTTATTATATGTTTCATGGATTGTCGTTTATGGTCGATGTGGGGATATTTAGTAATTTCTGGAACATTTTCATTTTTGATGGATTTTAATGCCAATTGATCAACTTCTTGTTCTATTCTATAACTTTCTCTATCAAGGATTTTATTACTTGTAGGTGGTCATTCGTTCTAAAGTCAGTCCTAAATTCGGTTTGCCTTAGTGGTTGGTGAAAATTTAGCGTAGGTCCCAGTCTGTTAGTAATTATTCCCATAAAGAGCTTATATAAATGAGATAACAAGATAATAGGTCTGTAGTTTACAATTTCTGTTATATCTCCTTTTTTATATAATAATATCGTAATACCACTATTACATTTTTTTTGATGTAACTCCTTCAAAGAAGCAAGCATTATAAAGAGTTTTTAAAGCTTTTATGACGCATTCGCCTCCTAGTTGTATCATTTCTTTAACGCCTCTATCTTTTCCAGGTGTTTTGTTGTTCTTCATACCTTTAATCGGTAATTTAATTTTTTCTTCAGTTATATCTAGAAGTTCCTCTGATCCTTGATTTTGTATTGCTGGGATTTCTACCTATGGAATGTGAGCACCTCGACTATATAATGTTCTGTAGACTCTTCAATGATTAACCTATACAAGTTACTATCAAATATAATGAGAAGAAGAATAACCCCATATGCAGAAGATAACTTTGGGGACTACCAGGGAGGCTTTCTATTGGGAAGAATAACAATAATAGAGAATTTGAAGTTCAATAAAGAAGTACACCAGTTGTTTATAGATTTTCGATAACCATATGCTAGTATTGTAAGCGATAGTATGTAGCTGACCATGGAAAATGTAGAGGTCTTTAGTAGGATTATTAATTTAAAAAATATGTATCGAGAATTTAATGAAGAATATGTATTGAAAAGGTCATAATGGGAAAACATATCAATGGCACATTATCTCTTACCAGTGGTTTAAAAGAAGGCGATAGACTATCATCATTACTGATTTGTTGTTTTTCGAATATTTTTAGTTTTATAATACTTTTATAGAAACTGTAATATGTTGTGATAGTGCATAATAATGGTTTCTTGTTCTCAACGTAGTTGCAGTAGCAGAAGCAATGTTAATAAAAAATCTTCAGAAATATGGCTCCACAGGTTAGTATACAAATATGTAAACAAAGTAATGGCCCGTACTTCAGAGAATAAATTAATAGTATTTGACTGTATTAATTTATCTTTATACATATTAAGCTTTAATAGTAAGAAAATAATCGAAAAATGGTATGTTTTACACTAAGTTTTTAAAAATTAAAAAAGACACCGAAATCTCTACAGAAATCGTATGAATCAACACTACCATAATACACTAGGGTGCAGCGACTACGGTAGGTAGGTCTCGTGGTCCGAATACATGAGAACACAATCTCCAGAAAATTACTAAACCCAAGAATGCAAGGAAAATACCTGTTGGAAAACAAAAAAAAATCCTTAAACACGTTCAATAAAAAGAACAGCAGAATATCGAGGTCTTTGGAGAAGCGTACCGAAGGAGGACTTGGCTGCAGCACCATTGAATGGATGGAAGATAGAGTAGTTTTGACTCGAGTTTGAGGAGCATAACCCAATTTTATAGTGGTAGACAGCTAGTTATTTTTGTTATCTTTTGTGTTGGTTATAACTTTTATTCATTTTTTTTACTGTAATATCTCGAGGTACGCCAAAACTTTATTTGTACATGATTGCATTACATATAGGTGTAAAGGTATTTTATAATTATATTACTGCTTATTTTTATATGTATAACACCATTTCATAGTTGTGTATTCTTATTACTTATGTTGCATTCAGCAGCATCATATTTTTTTTGTTGAATATAGTGTTATTGTTTTATGTATGTATTTTATTTGTCGGCTCCTAACAAGTTCCCTGATAAAATAGTAACTGTGAATATTTGCTTTTTACCTTTAAATATTACTATACCTTTGACCAGTAGAAAGATCAGGCTGATTAAGTTTCGTAGGTAAGTAAGTGTAATACCTAATATATTTCTTATTTGTTTATATATCGTGTTGACCAAATTTATTTGATAATTAACTGTTGATATCTTTCCTTAGGTTTGATCTCTGAACCTAAATATCTTTCCTTATCTCTTTTCTTTTCTAAGGTTTCTTAATTTTCTCCTTAACCCCAAAAAATTGAGTGGCGCCCTGTTTCTATCTTCTCTTATCTTTGGTAATTTTACCCATCTATCTTTTTGTTTATTTTTGTATCTTTTCTAATATCTTTTATCCTATCTTTACTTATTTCGTCCGTTGGACCCATTCCCGATTCCAAAAGCTAGTTTCGAACCCACGACTCGCTCTCCACCAACCATCTGGCTACCGCCCGCAGTGTCTCCATTGGTTATCTTTCTAGCACCATCCAAAAAAGATTTCCGAGGTTACAAGATCGTATCCTGGTGCCTTTTTTGTATCGATGTGTTTTATAATATTTGTTTCTTCATTTTTTTGTGAATCTTTTTTCAGGAAGTTCTAGGTGATAAGGTTTTGCGAGTACTGAAATAATCTCTTCTTCAGTTAGTAGTGATTATTTTCCCTCATTTGGCGTAAACACTTTTTTAAGGTGTGTTGCTACTATTTCAGATTTTTCTAGTGGACTTTTCGCCCATTTTCCTGTTTCTGTTCATAATGGTGGGATTGCATAGTTCCGCCTTCGTAAGGTCCTTGTAGCCTTCCATAACAAGTAGTCAGTAGCTTGGGCTGCATCTAGTGTGTAAGTATTCCTAAAAAGTTGCATTTTTTCTGCTATTATCTATTAGTTTCTTCAGTTCTTTTCGTGCTTTATTGAGGTCTATTTTATTCTGAAGGGATCTTGTTATTTGCTATTGTTTTCTGAGCTTTTTTTTCCTTTATTTTTTTCTATGTTGTATTGGAACAGTTTTTATTCGTATGTAGATTTGTTGGTAATGGTGTTGAGTTCCATGCTGCTTCCTGCACAACTGTGTTAAAATGTTCTACTGCTTGTTCGATCTGTTTGTCTTTTTTGTTATTGATATGTTTTTAATTACTGTTATGATAACCGATGAATGGTCAGAGGATAAATCAAAACAATACTTTGGTTTAAAGTATTTTTCGTTTATTCTTTTCCACACATCAAAATCGAAAACATCTTCAATTTTCGTAGGGTCTATCGGCCAGTATGTTGGCTCTCTTTTGGATACTATGTTTAGGTTATCTATTAATATTTATTTTCGCAGTTCACGACCTTTGGTACTATTAAGTCTAGAGCTCCACATTAGGTGTTTTGGGGATATCAAAAACATTTTAAATTCTGCTTGTTTAATTGAGTATTTTGGTGGGCAATATGTAGCTGAAAAAGTTGTAAGTCCTATCCAATCTACTACGACCTCAGTATGTGAAAAGTTGTCCTTGACAGA